GTGCAGCACGACGTTGCCGCACAATCCTGCTGTCCGGAAAAAGGCAAGCCGTGCGACTATGATCGCCTGCAGGCTTGTCTATATTTTGCTCGACTATGTGGTGCCTCATGACCGCGTAGAAAACTTTGTACGCTTCCTTAAATGCTCTTGTGTTGGAAAGGCCAGGTAGGCGTCACCTCTATCGGGGTAGATGTCACCTCTATCGGCGTAGGCGTCATCTCTATCGGGGTAGGTGTCCTGGGCGCACCAGTCTCGTCCGCTCTAGTTTCAGCGTCGCAAATCATATCTGTCAGTCCTTATATAACGTCATCTATGACTGGTATATTCCCATCTAACACGCCCTCCTCACACCCCAAAAACCTTTCGAACTCTAAACGGGCACTTTCCTCTAGTCTCTGTTCACGTTTATTTTTGTTTCTTATTGGACTCAACTGCCCGCTTATATCCAGTTATGCTGTATGAGAGGGAAGGAGTTTATTTACAAAGGGGAATACGATACTAATAAAAAAATTAAAAAGTTATTTGTTTTTGTTGCCTTTTTATAAAAAAATATTTTCTTTTTTTTTTTAGTCTAAGAATTTTTTTCATTAGTTCAGAATTACAATAATAATAATAATAATATTTTACGTTTACATTAACAAAAATGATTTTTACGAACGTACAGCAATAAATAAGTGAAGAAATGATTGATGCTGTGGTGCCGTTTTTGATGGGGAAAAAAAAGAGCGAGCGCAGAGAAAAGAAAAAGACAAAAAGGAATTGTTCAGGAAGAAGAGATGCATAGAAAAAATAGAAGAAAAATGTATTGAGAATTTCAGTACAATTGCGGCAGTTATCAACATTTTCTAAAAGTTTATATAAATTGTTGGTATCTCCCATATCTGCCAAACTAGCTAGCTCAGCAATGATAGGTGGGTCCGTCTCTACAACCTCCAATCCTCTCAAGTGACTTTTATGAGTAGCTAAAAATAATAACATCAATAACTCGATAATTAGAGAGGATCTTTACAGATATCATAGCTGTTATTGGTTTAATTGTTTTTGATTTGTTGGAAGCGATCTCTAAGAGAATTAAAGAGTATTCTTCATTGACTCTCTTGAGTTTTGCACATAGGTGCAAAGAAGAATAGGAAATATAGAGATGAAAAAAAACATAAAAATGCAAATGTTTTAGAGACAGCGAGAGACAGAAAAGCCCTTAAATAGCCGTTTACTTACAGTTAAATGGGCAGTTGAAACTAAAACGCTAACTCATGTACAGTAGGACGGATTCATTATCGAAGGGTTCCCAATATAGGTTTTACACACTCTTATAAATTAATAAATAAGTCAAGTCATAAAATTTACTTCCGAACTAAGCCCCGCCGTTGAGGAATTGTCTAATGTAGCCTAACGGCCAAGAACTTGGCTAACATCATTGACCGAACACTATGTGCCCTACATAGGGCCCCACTTGGTCAATTCCTTTTACCAGAGCTTATATTATAAATCAATATATCCAAATACAACAGAAAAAAATTAAATATAATTCCTCGCTCATCGCATCTGGTAAATATTTCGAACGAACAAAAAATATAGATTCGCACGAAGGAAGCTCTTAATACATACGTATGGTTGCCTGAGAAATTCTCTCAATCTATAATCTAAAAAATATAATTGCGATTGTTCATAAAACAATGAGAAATTCCATAAAGTGAAGTAAAAAATAACGTAAGGCAAGCAGAAAAATTGTTCTAAGGCCCCGTAGTTAATTAGCTACACATGTCGTAGAATAGAGATACTTCATGTAATCACGAAATTATTCGAAGTTGCTAGAGACGAAGGAGGCACCAAAGAGATCCCCATACTTTTTTTGATTATCACAGCTGGGTCTCCTTCTTAATACATGAAATAAATTTTAAATAAACGAAATAAATTCACTTACCTTCAATATATATTATTTCACTTTTTAAGGAATAGGTTATTGTAATTTTCAACCTTTTTTTCTTTCTCCTATGGAATTTTTCTTATTTGACTTTTCAAGGAATTGGTTTTTGTAATTTTCAACCTTTTTTGTTTCTCTTTTTACAATTTCCAGATGTTTCGTAACAATTTTTTTCCCTGTCAGTCACTTCTTACAACCTCTGCTGTATTGTGAAATGATTTTGAATTGCCGCTATCTGGTTTTTCCCATTACCAATAAGAATTCCCGTTTGTTGAGAATGGAGAGAGCACAGAAATCACAGAGTTATTTTCAATACATGCAAAGCTTCTACCATAGAAAATGTCCCCGACGGCAACCATTTCATACTCCGTAAATATCCTCTACCATGAAAAATATCCCCCACGGCAAACATTTCATGCATGTTTATATACAGTAAAAGTTCCTCATTCGCGGTGGATAAGTGCCGCGAATACAGAAGCCGTGAATTCGGAATTTGGGTTGGATAACTGTTAGAATCCTTTTATTCTTATGTACGTACTTAATTTAACAAATATTAATTTATTTATATTTATTTTACTTGGACATTTTTCAAAGCTTACAACCAGTTTGACCGTTTGGACCACCGACGACCTTAAAACGGTAAACCGCTCCCATTCTCATCACAAATTTTTCTATTATTATTCTTGTTTGTAATGAACTCAAATTATCTCATTTTCCCCCCACCATGTACTGATCGCAGTTATTTTTAAAATGATGTTAATACTGGCAAAAAATTGAGGTCAACGGTATCTCAAAATTACCAAATATCAATACACAGCTCAAAAAGAGCAAAATCAATCCACACTACTCTTAAAATGACCGAAATAAACACACGTAAGTCTGAAAAATAGCAAAATGCATATATTTTTTAATAAATGTAAACAGAAACTCAGAAAAATTTTCCCTCCAAATTTTTATTTTGTATTTACTAAAACGCCTGTTATATAATGTTAATACTGGGATAGCAAAAAATTGCGCTCAAAGGTCCCTCAAAATTACCAAAAATCACTGTACAGGTCTTTCAAAATGAGCAATCACGTTACTGAAAGGAGAAATTAAAATAGAAATTTTTACACAAAAATTATTCTTACAGTTATCGAATAATCCCACCCTTTTACCTTTTACCCTTTCTTAACTGCTTTCAAAAGCATAAAAATTACTTCAAGTGTAAAACTTATTAGCAGACTTCAAATGGGCGACATCAGTCTTAGGAAGTCTAGGTGTATAACCGTACAAACTACCTGTCTTGTGGGTTTAAATATGACATTCAAAACAATTTTGTAGAAGATTAAAAACTCTCTCTTAAACAATCTATTTTCCGATCGAACGTAGAATACCATAATGGTGCCTTGAGGAAACGGTGGCTTCTTTAATATTTTTTAAAGAAATTTAAAACCAACTTTCTTCGGGCATTACAAAAGAGAAATAGAAAAAGTAACGATTTTATGTCTGGTCAACAACAACATTAAAGTTTTTCGGATTGAGAATACGTATTAAAAATCTTACAACAACACAAAGCACGAAATGAAGTTACTTTGACATTTTACAGCATTCTCGATATTTGCTTAAAAAATAGAAAACAATGGAAAAGTACATCAAGTATGCAGTTGTATAGTTCAATGACCGCTATCAAATCTAAAAATAGTAGGTTGTATTTTAGCTCCAAACACAAATAGCCTAAATAAAAATTAAACAGGGAACATATGTAATATAATGCAATAGATAACATTTTCTTTTTTTCATTTTACTTAGGCCGACGTGAAGGCGCTTAAGAGCGTAGTGTACAACGGTTTTCAAACTTGGTCTCACTAAAATCTTCAGTAAACAGAATCAGAATCCAATGTTGATAAGAAATACTGTAGAAGGGACATTTCGTTTTTCTTCTTCTTCTAGAGGTAGTAAACAGAATCAGAATACAAGGTTGGTGAAAAATGTTACTGATGAGAATTCTGGAGCCAGTAAATAGAACTATAATTCAATGTTGATGAACAGCATCACTGATCACGATGGGGATCTTTTTCAGAAATGAGACCACAAAACCATTGTTTTTATAAGAAGTTTATTCGAACAAAATATGTTGCAAATACAGATGCATGCACATATATATTGGGTTCAAGTGTATAAGCAAGCAAATACAATTTGCAAATTCTTGATTTAACTGATATTTACATTAAATGTTAATTAAGTGAATTATCCAAATTAATGCAAAGGGATGGGACGCACTAGAAATTTTTTTTTTGTTTCTGCTTTCATATTCGACTAATAGTTGAAGAGATACTAAAACTTCTAGAAGTAATAATTTTAATGTGTTGGGTGTATTACACAAAAAAAAAATAAATAGAAATTCCAATTATCAAGTGACCATATTTATTTTTTTGCTGCTACCAATTTGTCGGTCTCATTGAAGTAATCAAGAGTTACCTTAACGATACCAACGCCGACAACAAGGCCTGCCATTGTGGCCAAACCATTGTCTTTAGGGATCAGAGATTTGAGTACGGCCCAGCCCAGCACGGAACCCATACCCCAAAGTCCGGCAGCCATAATTGCATACAAGCCGCGTTGGAAAGTAGGCACATGTCTTAAATGCGGGCGTCCGTACACGTAGAAGGCGCCACCTGCTACACTGCTCCATAATAATACATTAGTAGCGTCCTTTTTCCCGGGCAGCATCTTAGCGACTAGAGCCGGGTTCATGACATTAACACATAACGCTCCATAACTCAATAGACCATTTAGCGGAATGTAGTAATAAAAAATGTTCTCTTTGGTAAAGGGTCTTAAGCCAATTTTTTCACAAATCGTACAGTTGTCATCCTTGGTAGGAGTAGTCATGCTGTTGTTATATTGATTATTTGCAAAGCTAATCAATTACTGTAGTCTAAAAATTCTAAAAAAAATACTTTTATTTTTCCAAATATACGTAATCGGTGTACAAAAATCCAATTCAATGCGGCAAAAAGAAATTTCTATATGAGAAATATTGATTACATAAAAAACAAAATTGTTGTCAAAGTCGATTGACATTTTATAAACTAGGGATACCAACTTGGTGCATTTTAAGAATTCAGAATTTTAGCGATTTACGGTAAAACATCAAAATTAACTATCAAAATTTAACGTATGTAGATTTACTTTCCAAATTCTAAAATTCTGGCCGTATACTATTAACAATTTTTCGTAAGCAACTGAATGGCACAATAGCGCTACCAAGGTTGTAACCGGTTCCTATTTTTTGAAATGAAAATTCATTGGCAAACGGTCGACGATAATTACGCTAGCACTTGTTTCGATGTAATGACGTGTTTCACCTATAATTACTAAGTACGAGATTCAATACTGTCGTTTCGAGCTTAAACTAAGATGTTATTCCTTTTAAAGCGTGATATAAACATTAACCTGTTTACTTTAAATTTTTGTAAAGAAGTGGTTTTGAAGGTGGCAAGGGTTTTCGAAACCTTCTGACTCTTGATATAGGTGATATAGGTGTTAATAAGGTGCTGTGCCGAAAATTATTAGCAAAAAGCAGTCTTAGGTTAGCAACTATTTTCGAATAGAACGGCTTGTAAAAATATGAAGTTACGGTTTTTTTTTTCCCACAAACAGTGAATGATAACCGATATTGGAAAGTTTTATCGTATTTAGATCTTACCAAGTTATGTTTATATATAACGTAATAAATATTAGATAAGGGAACAGTTTCTCAATTTCCTTATACTCTACACTATAATCACTTTCACGACCAATCACGATGTATGCTAATCTCTCTCAGTCTTGTCTTCTTGTATTCAGCATAAAGGCTGTAATTTTTGAGATATGGTAATGAAGTTTAATGTACTGACGGCTGGTGGCCCAAGCACCTTTGTTTGAATATTGTTCGTAAAACTTCCCAATCGATGTAACTCAATTTTTGTCGATTTATTGAAAATACTCGTTGTCTGGAATTGACGTGAAGAAGTACTTGATCTTATTCTTATTTCTCGTTTTACCCAGCTCAGCTTTGTTGAATTTCATTGAGCGAACCGTATCTTTAATGTTAAATTCCCAAACTAATAAGGAGTAAATTATTGGCGATCATACGTCTGATTTTGATAAAGGATTTTCTGTGAAGCTTTAATGTCTTTGTCAAGTTAGAAATTTAAAAAATTGGGAATTTTTTCCCTCATTTTCAAAACAACAAAGAGCTGGCAAAAATTCGTACCTAGTGAGAGATGACGTTTTGCTTAAATCATTTATGACATTTCTCCTGAAATTCTCAACTTTTCCGTGATCAAGAAAGCATAGAAAATCAGTTAGGTACTTGCGATCATAATTGTTACGTTATATTTTTTATTGTCTTTTCACGGCTTGACATCTTATGTGATAAGTCATGAAGACATGCGTTAGGAAAAACGCAATGAATTTTTTTCTTTACTCAATATTTGTCAAAATTTTATATTGAAATCGAATCACACTTGAATAGTAACTCGCACACTCACACATACACGCACGGTGAAAATTTGGCAATGCCATTTACGAACTGTAAGTTGCAGTGTTTAGAGAAACATTCGTTAAGAGATAACAACAAAGAAGTATATTTTTTCGTTTAGCATTAAATTCCAACCAAGAGTTAAAAATATTTTTAATTTCTACTTGAATGTAAATCTTCTAAATCATGTTTGAAATATGAGTGAAACAAATCGAATAGTAATTGCCCCCAACATCTAATTGATCCTTATTAGAATAAAATAGACGTTACTGTTTACATTTCTTATATAACCGTCATCTAGCCGCCAAGGTTGGCTGATAGTTTTCGTTTCCTAAGCGGCCGTTGTGAATGAGATTAATGGCATGGATTCTTTAAATGATAATGTTTGCATCGCGATTTAACCTTTTTTTTATACCCATCACCGAAGTATGACGGGTATATTAACTTTGTGAAAGCCTTTGCAACATAAACACAAGGTATATATTTAAGCTTGCCTGTTTGATCCTTTGTGTAATGTTCATTGTAAACACCCTCCTGACCGAAAAAAACAAGCTGTCGACTTTAAATACGGAAAAAATATTGAAAATTCTTACATGCCAAATTGGTTGACGGATACGGCTACGGTGCCACGTTGATTATAAGCATCTCTGCTTTTCAAAAACTCGTTGCTCATAAACCACAACGGATAAATGTAAAAAAATTTGAGCGCATATTCTATCGGCGATGCTGTACAAAAGTAGTAAAACTTGACTAAGTCTATCCAATGTTCTAGTGTGTCAAAACTTAATTTTTTTTCAATATCTTTGTTACGTGCAGAATCAAGCCTCGGAAGCCCCACAAAGTATATGAATTCTCGGCCAGTTTGAAACTCGAAATGCATTTAACCATATCCTTCTGTTCGTCTATCCATCAATTCGTCTACTCAACTGTGTAATATCCGCAGTAAATACTCTTCCGTTCGCAAAGACGGATATATCGCATAAAAATTTCCAAAAGAAGAAATTTGCAGCAAGGGCTGAATAAGGCTTCGCTTTACGTGTCTTTTACTCGTTGCATACAACAGATACATGATAAAAACTTGTACAAAATTATTCTATAAAAATGGGAATATGCAGTGGGCGATATTACGGACTATGCAAATCTATATTTTTCCTTTTTTCAACCTTTTATAGGATAACGGCGATGGTTATAAAAGATTTGGTCGCAGCCGAATATAATTTTTTTTTTTTGCTTCTTTTTTTATTTGCTTGCTTTAGTCCTTCTTCCAATTCTTCTTCGTCTTCCTTCTTCTTATGTATGCAGTCATTTGGCCGATATCTTAGCCTAGGGATTCAATTGCTTACTCACTCGATAAAAAGGAACTCCATTCTTCTGAGATTGAAATTCTGTATGAAACTGGAAGACTTAATACCTAATGCGTTGCTTGCATTCTCTGCAGGGATCTAAATTAGGCAAATACGTTCTTCCATTCCATTTTGGATTTCATTTATTTTATTTGATAGTATGGTTTCGTTCTTCCAAAGATCAAGAATTTATAAACTTAGAGTGAATCTTCTTAATAACTCATCGCACCCGTGACTGCAAACGCGATGATGAAGATATTATACCTTATTCTTTGCATTGGTAGATTTAAAAAGAGGAAATTATGATAATTAACTTTGCACCCAAAATGCTAAATATGCACTATGTACTGTGTTTGTGCTCTTATCCAAAAAACAAAAGTCAACCAAACAAACGATAAAGAAAATAAGTAAGTACATTTAGCTGATGGCCTATTATTAAACACCGTACATAAATTCGGTTGATGCAATTATACGCAGGCGGCTTTTTCGGAGTAAGGCGTTACGAGATTAGAGGTCGAAAAAGTGGTTCTATCCAAGTCACTTTAAATACTGTTTGTCGTTGGGCCAAAACACATCGCTATACCAAATTTCATCAAGATATGTCAAACATTGCGCCACCTAGGTGTTGTATGCGTTCCCGCACACTTGATATACCCTGGAAACATAACTAGTGTATGGTATGAGAAGTAAATAAATAGTTTTGTAATATAGGCGAGAAATTGTTTAAATTTAATTTTTAATACAAATAAAAGCGCACGCGAAGACAACAAACAAACCTATGCTTGTTATACAAACACATCATATAAGCAAATATTCAAACTGAGAAACTGATTTAAAAAAATCAATGGCAAGAAAAAAGTTTTCAATCATTACTTATTGCTTATTATTTATTAAAAAACTTGTGACTAAAATGAACGAAGAACGAAAGTGAAAATGAACAAAAAAACAATATCTTTTAATAAAATAAATGCTTGCTATCAAAATCAAAAGATATATTTATTTTAGGCTCGTGGCCGTTTGCTATATACGTAGATAACATTTTTCGTTAGCCGTTCGCCGTTAGCAAAATGCAAACATAGTAATAGGTTTAGCTGTGTGGCTAATATATAGCTAATAAAACGTAACGTATCTAACTATATGCATATGTATGAATGTACATATATATATATACACTCCTGTAGTGGATCCGTGCAATAGAGTGTTGTTATTTTCAATTTCTATGCAATTTAAACAAATCAAGAACAAGTTTTATTTGGTTTAATGTCTGCGCTATTGATTTGGTCTTGTGTATGACTTTGTGTGTTTATGCTTGTGTTTGTGTTATTTGATCGCAAACGCCATGTTAAGCTCCTCATATTCGTGTACAGCAAATGTTTTGAGATCAGTCTTACCTCGGAGACGGTACGTTCAACACAGTTATTTATAATCAGTCTTAGAAAAGAAACAAAATCAAAGAAAAACAAAAAACAATTTATTGAAGCGTATGTTATATATACATATAATAAATGTATAACTATACAATATAGTAAATAGAAAATAATAATAAAACCGTGATTAGTTTTCTTACAATAAAACAAAAGTAATATAAAAGTTTTAAAGTAAATATTAATAATACTTTTGCACTGTTTTTTGTTTATTGGTGAAATAGAGAAAGGTAAAGGTAAAGTACATTGATTAAAACTATTATTTATATTCCTTTTTAATAAAAGTATTTATTTACTATCTAATAATCTTATGAAATTATTCTAGCCAGCCTTATCTTTTTACCTTAAAAAAAAAAAAACTATATTTTTTTTTATACCTTAGTAAGTTGTCTCCATCCTTGCTTGGATCTGATTCATGTGCCCTTCATTGCAAGTGTGAACTAAATTAATTAAACCGCTTCCAATATTCCAGAGAACTCGTCAAAAAATCTACAAACTATTAACGATCACCACAATCATGTGACTATCTGCTTGCCTTCTCTACTGATATTTCAGTTAATTATGGGCATGACAGGTGTTCGATTGGATCCATTTTTGCTTTAATTTAACATTAAATGGAATGTTGGTTGTAGAATTTCGCTCAATTTTTAAGCGTGAATACGCAGACAAATTTTGTTTCTTTTTTCGAATATTTGCAAGATCGTTCGTTCTAATCGCCCATGGGTTGACGAGCGTAGTTGAAGTTATTAGCAAATGGCTTATCTCGCTGTAAAATGTTACACTTATAGAGAGTGAGGGGATATTGTAATCTCCCTGACATAGAGATTTTCGGATGTTATAAATGGAAAGGTAAATTTAATGTACCCCGTTCTACACTGATATGCGTAGGAAGTAAAAGCATTGTAACATCATTAAATATCCTACATCTCACCGGTTTATGTAGTTATTGTATAGAATAGAAAAGTCGTCATGTGAGATCCGATTCATTTCCAATGGCGGTCATCCATGGGCCAAACAAGTCGATGTAATAAAAACCATCAAAAATTCTCAAAAATTGTGACCTTTAGGTTGAATACAAGAAATAAGACGTGTAGACGGACAAATGCACGGACGAGTCAAGATCGGTGTAGAAAGCTTGAAATTACTTTCTGAATCGAACGATATAATAAAAAATAGATCTATCTCAAGACCTTTTGAATGCAGCACACATTCGCATGAAATTGATATTCCCTCGTACCGTACACACAAGTGGTATAAGATATAACAATGTTCTTTGGTACACATAACGTAAAACTGATCGAAACGGAGTGTACCTGTACTGATTTGGCACACGCCCACTACGGCTACGGCCGCTTCCATATCTCTTACCCTTCTTTCACCTATATCCGTCCGTCAGCGCAAAAAAAGGAGCAAGTCACGACTTAGATGCTCGTCAGTAGTTCGAAAAAAGCTAAAAAAGTGAAAAAAGTTTCAAAATGTTTTCAACGCAAGGGTTTATCTTGAAATTATCGAAATTTTTCGTAAAAATATCAGTTATATTACTTACTTAATCGATATATACGAAATATTCCTGGATTTCGTTCAGCTAAATAGCATCTAGAACTCTACTCTTCTTACATCTATTGTCGAAAAAGATCACTTTTCACATTTCTTATTCGGTTGCGTGTCAGCAACGTTAAAGGCGCAAAAATTCGATCTTCAATTGGTATTGCAATTTGAAACTCGAACTTTGCGAAAGGCTGTCTTCTCCCCGGAGATGCGAACCGAAAAACATTATTGTATTACTTTTATTCATAAAATAATATTAACAGTAATATTTCGGACTTCATTTTACCCTTCGATTCGTCCACGTTTCAACTTAATTTTCTTATATTTTATATTCTACACCACATGCTCAGAGGGACTTGAGATAAATCCACCTTTATTAAGGTTGATTGCCCGTTTTCTTGTGTACATCCGACAGGTCGCAACTTTCGAGAAATTTTGATGAGATTTAGTGCATCGAACTGTTGCGGCCCAAGCTGTTGAATATTGTTGAACACGTTTCGGATCGGACGACTTTTTCGACAACTTCCTTCCTTCCTAAGGCCTTGTTTTGAAAGGTCTTTAAATAAATAAACGTGGGGTGGTGTAATGTACTTAATGGTGGTCCATATTCCATAAGCATTTTTACATGCATTGAATTAGTTTCTGTTCCCCTCGTATTCACTATCTAGATAGCGTTCATTGAATTCATTGCAAATATGCGTTCCTGGGTTTAAAGTTTGTAAACAAGTTATCAACTGAGAATTGACCTACTTTTCTAATAATATTAACCGGTAGAGCAACAACATATTATCGTTTGCGTATTAGTTGCTTCGTGCTTCCTACACAAGTTTCAGTTTCATAAGCATCTCTTATTGGCATTTATTCAATTGTAGTCAAGAGAAAGAAAAAAAAAAAACAAGAAAAAAAGACGTAACTGCATGAAAAAAATGTTGATGAAATTTTAAGAAAACTCAAATGATTTTATTTGCATTTTTAATGGAAATTTTCCGAAAAATATTATATAACTTTTTTCGATAATTCGATTTCGAAAATATTATATACAAATTTTTCGAGTGATTGTTTATTATTAATTATTGTTATACCCTACATTATCTGTGGTGTAAGCGTACATAAAATTAGGGAGGATACATTATATGTAACAGCCAGAATCAACCGATTTATAATTATCTTATGAATCTATTCGTCTGTCTACGTCCAAGGTCGAACGCGATTGAAAAAATCGGGTGCCCTTTTCGACCACTTCCAATATTACCATTTATTCTGAAATGTCGTTATATGAATGAACGTATTAAACGCAGTGGTATAGGGTGTAGGATGTAGCCTTTAACGATGGGCAGTGGATTTTACTTAGTATTAATCATTTAGACTAAACAAATAAATTCTAGGGCTAAAAGTATGATGAGCATTAGCAACTAAAGACAACTTATCGCCTTTTTTTTCTTAAAAATTAGCTACCATTAGCTTATTTCAATGCTCTATGGTATTCAAAATGTGGCTAATTTTAATCGTTTGCTTAATAAGAGTAAATAGGGTAAGATGATTTGCGGTCCTATGAAACTTTGCGAGCAATAAGTGCAATACAGTATGTGCTAGGAAATATTGCCCATAATACGGGCTTAAGTACGCGAAGGTTCTGAAAAATGTTTGATATAAGACAGAAAATAAGCATTTTTTTGTTATTTCGCACAATTCAAATTTATTCCTCATCATAGTCTCCTTTAAGAATAATACAATCAGTCTAAAGGTTCTCTAAGATTTTCATTTTATATCTTTTTTTTTCTAGTTAGTAGAACTTCAAAGCCTAAGAAATTTCATAAATTTTGTGTTTGTTTAACATTTAAGCAATTAGTGTTAACTGTGTTGTGTGTATAAAACTCAAAGACGAACACTAATCATTTTTGTAAGTACATGGGCAAAGATCTTATGTGCTTAGATATACTCTGATTATACTTTTAAGGACACATTCCACACACAAAAAGGTATGGATTTTGTTAAATTGTGGGCTAACCAAGCTGCTGACATTTAGAAAAACTAACGTGCGATGAGTTTTCTTCTTTCAACGTTCTTAGCTCTGTTCCTTATTGCGGAGTGTGCGAGTGCGCACGTTCTTCAAACAAGCCGCCTGCCCTTACAGCAGTTTAGTTGTACAGGTCTTACACGCCATGCCTAAGATTCTCACTTTTAAAGCGAACGTATTCAGACGATGCTGTTACTATTGTTGCAGCTCATTTAAATTCATATACAGCAGTGAATTTTAAAAAGTTCTTCAGATTTATTGGTAATATTCGATTTGTGGCGATATGTGCGACACTTAGAAGGGTACAAAAGGGCTTAAAAAGGATGGCGAATGATTTGAAATAGACGCGACTTTTATTATACCATCAGATGATTCTGAAATAATTCAGAATTAATTTCTAAATCGCTTTAAACATGTATGCCCGTTTATCGGCCTCCTTGCTTCTCCATGTCATTTTGTGTAAGGAATGCAAATTATGAAGATATTGTGGTGAAAAGCATACCACCTTTGGCATATTGTGGGCGAAGCATGTGGGACAAGCATGACTGAAAATAGATTACATTGGACCCATTTCTCTATTACTCTCCCTTTTCAAAAGATTGTTTTTACAACAACTTTCAATTTATAAATTTTTGGGTGAGAAATTTTTCTGCACTAAAGGAATTCGGCAAATCTGTATGTGATTGTGATGGATTGTATTTCGAACTCTCTCTTTCATATGGCACTAAAGTAAAATGCTCAGTATCTCGTGACGATATTTGGTTGATAGTAACTTACTGTTCTCAATATCGAACAAATAGATTTAATTCTCGAACGCCTGCGGGCGGAACTATTCTCTTCAGCGTTCGTACGTCTAAATGGTTTTATTTTTTATGACTAACACAGTAGGAAACACACACACACACAAAATTGCTCTATAAAAGGTGTGGGATGCGTGAGAGAATATTTTGCGCATTTCCCCTCAATGAAGAATCGACGGACATGTTGCGTTACGGTCACGTTATTATTGATTACCGTTTAGATTCATCTATTATTATTTAAAAATAATTACTTGTCGTTTAACCACTTTAGGTCGTCAGGGAGTAAGCATGAAAGAGAGGGGAAAATGTCTGTCTCATATGATTTATATGATGGCGTACCCTATACGCGCCGGTTTGAATCGATAGCAAAGCAAAGCATTGCCGTTTCATTGTTAACTTTTAGTTGTTGTTTATATTTTTTCTTTCAAATATTTACGAGATATCACCTGCGATCAGCTATGCGTCGGTACACGGACAAAGTTCTTGACATGACCATGACTTTTACGATAGCGAGCAAAATAAGCAAAATAATTACACCAAAAAAAATAAAAAAATCTAATAAATTAAGTTTCTATGCCAAAAGCTAATAAAAGCATATTATAATGATATACGTACTTATGATAAAATATTTTAATTACATCAACTAAGTGTTAGGTATGCAATTTAAAGCATATGTAAAACAAAAATATTAAACAATTTTAGATTGTTTTTATATCACATTTCATATATTATAGTCTTTAGGCCTTGACTTTTATAAAAACAAATTCGGATATCAAATGCAATTCATTAAAAGACGGTTTTTAAAAATCCAATCGAATAGAATGATTTCAGCATGAAGTTATTCATGCAATGCACGCATTTTGCCTCTCTG